TGAGTTAGGATGGCTAGGAGGGGAGGGATGAGTTAGGATGGGTGGGAAGAGGGGAGGGATGAGTTAGGATGGATGGGAGGAGGGGAGGGATGAGTTAGGATGGCTAGGAGGAGGGGAGGGATGAGTTAGGATGGGTGGGAGGAAAAGAGGGATGAGTTAGGATGGGTGGGAGGAGGGGAGGGATGAGTTAGGATGGGTGGGAGGAAAAGAGGGATGAGTTAGGATGGGTGGGAAGAGGGGAGGGATGAGTTAGGATGGGTGGGAGGAAAAGAGGGATGAGTTAGGATGGCTAGGAGGAGGGGAGGGATGAGTTAGGATGGGTGGGAAGAGGGGAGGGATGAGTTAGGATGGATGGGAGGAGGGGAGGGATGAGTTAGGATGGCTAGGAGGAGGGGGGGATGAGTTAGGATGGGTGGGAGGAGGGGAGGGAGGAGTTAGGATGGGTGGGAGGAGGGGAGGGATGAGTTAGGATGGGTGGGAGGAAGAGAGGGATGAGTTAGGATGGCTAGGAGGAGGGGAGGGATGAGTTAGGATGGGTGGGAGGAGGGGAGGGATGAGTTAGGATGGCTAGGAGGAGGGGAGGGATGAGTTAGGATGGGTGGGAGGAAGGGAGGGATGAGTTAGGATGGGTGGGGGGAGGGGAGGGAGGAGTTAGGATGGGTGGGAGGAGGGGAGAGATGAGTTAGGATGGGTGGGAGGAGGGGAGGGATGAGTTAGGATGGGTGGGAAGAGGGGAGGGATGAGTTAGGATGGGTGGGAAGAGGGGAGGGATGAGTTAGGATGGCTAGGAGGAGGGGAGGGATGAGTTAGGATGGGTGGGAGGAAAAGAGGGATGAGTTAGGATGGGTGGGAGGAAGGGAGGGATGAGTTAGGATGGGTGGGAAGAGGGGAGGGATGAGTTAGGATGGGTGGGAAGAGGGGAGGGATGAGTTAGGATGGGTGGGAAGAGGGGAGGGATGAGTTAGGATGGGTGGGAGGAGGGGAGGGATGAGTTAGGATGGGTGGGAGGAGGGGAGAGATGAGTTAGGATGGGTGGGAGGAGGGGAGGGATGAGTTAGGATGGGTGGGAGGAGGGGAGGGATGAGTTAGGATGGGTGGGAGGAGGGGAGGGATGAGTTAGGATGGGTGGGAGGAGGGGAGGGATGAGTTAGGATGGGTGGGAGGAGGGGAGGGAGGAGTTAGGATGGGTGGGAAGAGGGGAGGGATGAGTTAGGATGGGTGGGAGTGGGGGGGCGGGACAGCAGACAAAGAACAAAAGATGAACAAACGCGTAAATTCAGAACACATTTTCCTACTATTATTTTTAAAGTAACCAGCATTACAATTTTCCTAATCAATTATCATAATTTACCTCAAATCTTTATTTCTGAAGAAATAATGTATAGTTATGTATAATTCATTGTATACACAAGCAGGTACAATGAGTCGTAAAAGTGCAATGGTGGTGATATAGAGGAGATTTTTAAGACAAAGCTTCAAAATGAAGAACCCTTCAAGAGGTCAGTTTGGCCTAATCAGTTCAGTACCGTTCCGGGTAATGTATTCCAGCGTAATACATCACAGGGATACTAAATACAACAGGGGGCACAGTGTATGATTATGTTTTCAATTGCAGGATTTTAGAGTAACCATTGTGTAAGCAATACATGTTATACAATATGGAATATATATACTTACATTACGACACAGCTGTGTATGGGGGGTTGGAATCCCCTTGGATAATTTTGACAAATGATTTCCAAGACTCTGAACCCCCCCACCCCCCTCTGAGCCTACATGACTAGGCTCAGTCACGTAGGTTCAGAGCCAAGACTCTGAACACGTCTCTGAGCCTACGTGACTAATTATATATGTTAATTAAGGAGGTCAAACCCAATGCATTATCACCCAACCATTACAACCTCGCGAAACCCCACTAATTAGGCCTAGTTAGTCAATGGTGACAGTGACTAAGGCCAACCATCCTCCTGATAACATATTAATTTGTGTAACCATGTGGATGATCACCAGTTGATTGACGGTTGAGAGGCGGGACCAAAGAGCCAAAGCTCAACTCCCGCAAGCACAAATAGGTGAGTATATATATCGACGTGATAGACAGACACTAGAATTTGCTACTATTTATGTTATAAGAGTTGGGAAAAATAAGGCTATAGACCAAACTTAAATATTCATAGGAATAGTATAGTAAATATATGTACTATATTAGGCCTCGGATAACGTATGTTATTAGATCTGGGATGGTTAGGTCAGGGTTCATTAGCACACATTAGAAAAACTTTTCTCGTTGGTCCAAATTCAGTAATACAAAAGTGTACTTTCTGTTGGTCCATCAGGACCATATTGTAAACTACTGTAAACACTCGTTTCAACCAGTCCTCCTAACAAAGCGTCGCATTTTGACGTATCGTCTATGACCAAAAATCGTCGTACTAGAAAATAGTAGCGAAATTGACATACTGTCCCGTTTTCTGTTTTGGGTCCTCTGGTAGTTCAGGGTGCACTGTAGTACAGACAGTTTCTTGACGTTAGGAAATCTTAGGAGGACGGGCTGCTCATTTTAAGAGGCTGGGCTGAACCTACACACCCTTGCCCCTCCAAGCTCGTAAGGGCAAGGGGCTTTCTACAAATTTGTAATCTATACACAAATGCTTCGCGAACTGAGGCAGATCTAAATGGAAGTCTCATTTGATTTTTGAGGTTTTAGTAACGGCAATATTCTCTTGGTTCCAAACCACATCTCTCGGTCTCCTAACAATATCCCAAGGTCCCAAACAATATCCCAAAGTCCCAAACAATATCCCAAGGTCCCAAACAATATCCCAAGGTCCCAAACAATATCCCAAGGTCCCCCCCTCCTCCCCAGGATGACAGGTATATTCCATCACCTCCAGGTACGCCTTGTCATGCTGCACTAGTAGGCTTCCTGTATTATAATCTCCCGAACAGCATAAGTAGGTAACGCGATCTCAGATGGCTACTACTCGCTCGCAGGGAGCAAGGCTGGGTGGCACCTTAGCCTGGAGTATGCCTGGAGTATGCCTGGAGTTACCTGGAGTGTGCCTGAAGTGTGTTCTGAGAGTTCTTCTACTCCCAAGCCTGCTTGGGGGGCCCAAGCTTGCCTTGTGATAACTTGGTCCAACAGGCTGTTGCTTGAAGCGCCCCGCAAGCTCTTTGAGTGGTTCCTAAGGGTCCGGGTACAATTCCCGGTCGAGGTAGAAACAACTGGGTAATTTCTTTCACCTGATGCCCCTGCTCATCTAGCAGTAAATAGGTACCTGGGAGTTAGACAGCTGCTACGGGCTGCTTTCTGGGGATGTGTGCGCGCGTGCGTGTTAGAAATACTGAATATGTAGAAGACATAACATAGGAAAAAATAAATCGGTTAGAAAGGCGCCGTTCAAAAGCTAATAGCTCGATCCTGCAGGCACAAATAGTAATTACAGGCCCATAGAGCGGCCCACGGGCCCGTAGAGCGGCCCACGGGCCCATAGAGCGCCCCACGGGCCCATAGAGCGCTCCACGGGCCCATAGAGCGGCCCACGGGCCCATAGAGAGGACCACGAGCCCATGAAGCGGCCCATAGAGAGGACCACGGGCCCATAGGCTCACTCCCATCACGTGTCCTACACAGCTATACGAGCCTAACCTGGTTCCAGTTCCGTCATAAAAATCTGAGCTCGTTAAAGCTCCGTTTGGAGAAACCTTCTATAGAGTCAAAAGATCTTTATCTCACTTTGTTTGCCGCAAACAGTGTCTCCCACGGTAAGATAAGACGGACAAGCACGGCAATAATACACGCGGGAGACAGTACCTAGATGCCGCCAAGATGAACGGCACCGAGGCATGAGGAGAGGGTGGGGACACCGAGGCATGAGGAGAGGGTGGGGACACCGAGGCATGAGGAGAGGGTGGGGACACCGAGGCATGAGGAGAGGGTGGGGACACCGAGGCATGAGGAGAGGGTGGGGACACCGAGGCATGAGGAGAGGGTGGGGACACCGAGGCATGAGGGGAGGGTGGGGACACCGAGGCATGAGGGGAGGGTGGGGACACCGAGACAGTCTACCTACACAGAGGACACCTACAGTACCCAGGGCGGCGGCGGGGAGTATGAGAAGAAACAGGTTGGAAGCTGCGGTAAAGATGGTGATCTATGCCACACTATGCCCTCCGAAGTGGACGTCCCTCCCTGTACCACAGACATGCAACACACACACACACACACACACACACACACACACACACACACACACACACACACACACACTCTTGCAATTGCAAAATCTTAGCTAAAAAGATGGCTACCACATCTCCCTTCCCCTCCCTTTCACCCTCGTTCATTGCTCTGAGATTTATGAGTGTAGAGTTTACGGAAATTTGCATATCAAAGTGCGGTGTGGGACTTGGAGGAGAGTGGGCCGCGACGCTGTGGGGCCGCGACGCTATGGGGTCTAACCCCCCCCCTTCCCCCTTCCCCCAATCCTCCACACCCGTCCCCTATCCTCCCTTTTGTCCAGGTCTTTTATCGTCTGCTCGGCCTAACGTTTCTTGCCGGGCCGCCTCTACACAAACAAATAATCATCTGATCTAGTGGTGGCTGCCGCTCAAGTGCGTCTCAGATTACCACGCACATGGGCCTCGTGTCACTATTGGTCACCTGGCCGTGACGTCTCACTCTGCCATTGGTCCGATATTATTGATGTCATAGTGCTATGGGGGTCGACTACCAGCGACGTCGCTCCGACGCGCGGGGCATTATCTCCCCAGGTTTCGGAACATTTGCAAACCCACGAGATGTCGTCTGGCAGGAGATGGTTTGGAAAGGAAGTTAATGACGTCACACAAAGGCGGTCTATTGGTAGTTGTGGGCCATGGACGTCACAGGTTTGTCCCCCTGGGAGGGGTCAGGTGACGTGGGAGTTCCGCTTGCACCCAGGGGGGGAAGACCTGGCGCCAGTAGTCGTGAGATGGAAGCGAGCATCCACCTGACCTTGCCAGGAGTGTGAGTGGTGAACCCTGGAGTCTGGATCAGTATTCAGTAATGGCCCAGAGCTGGCCAGGGCAGGACGTGTCTATCGCGCGCTCTCCTCCATCCCACTCTACTCCACACACCAACGAGGCATCCTGACCATCCACCTCCGCTGATTAAGGTAAGTTCCTCCCGCTGTTTTATTTACGAACCATCAGCGCTTCATATAACGAAGCACTGATCAAAATGAACTATCCATAGTTCATTATTGTAAGATGTTTAAAGGTTGACAGATGTTAATCTTCTACTTTGAGGAGCTGTTCACTCGACACAGTTAAGCAAGTCCCAGCTGTGTCTGGGAACAAGTGACAGGATGAACAACCCAGCGGGTTTTCTTCCTATTGGGGAGTATTGTACATGCTGCTATGGCGGTGTGTACACTCACAGGATGAGTGGCGCCACCCAATAAACTCAGGGCAAAATTTAACACGCTACGACAATAGGGTATAATATTCAACCCATTACTTCGTAAACTAATGGTCTTACAGCTATTCATTATCTATTTTCCAACTATACTAGAGTGAAAGCACTCATGTGAAAGGTGCAATTTAACTCGAGGTATGCCGGGTGATCAGAAGGTGTTAAAAGCGAACTCTGTGGCTTCACTCTGAGGCTACGACCATGTAAGAAAGTTGAGTGAAAAGTTAAGAATGTGCGAGTATTCACTCGTTTTAATTTTGGTTCGAGGGGACAATTTAGTGGGTACTGTTATTCAACCCTGGAGTGAACACTTTTCAGACTCTAGAGTGAACACTATTCATCCCTACAATAAACGCTACCCAACCATACAGTGAACACTACCCAGCTCTCGAGTGAACACTACCTAACCCTCAAGTTATGGGTAGCTCAAGAGTGAACACTACCTGACCCTAGAGTGAACACTACCCGACCCTAAAGTAAACACTTCCCGACCCTCGAGTGAACACTCCCAACCCAAGAGTGAACACTACCCCAACCCCTAGAGTGAACACTACCCCACCCTTGGAGTGAACACTACCCAACCCTAGAGTGAACACTACCCCACCCTAGAGTGAACACTACCCCACCCTAGAGTGAACACTACCCCACCCTAGAGTGAACACTACCCCACTAGAGTGAACACTACCCCACCCTAGAGTGAACACTACCCGACCCTAAAGTGAACACTACCCGACCCTAAAGTGTATACGACCCAACCCTAGAGTGAACACTGTCTCAACCCCTAGAGTGAACACTACCCAACCCTAGAGTGAACACTACCCGACCCTAGAGTGAACACTACCCAACCCTAGAGTGAACACTACCCGACCCTAGAGTGAACACTACCCCAACCCCTAGAGTGAACACTACCCCAACCTCTAGAGTGAACACTACCAAACCCCTAGAGTGAACACTACCAAACCCTAGAGTGAACACTACCCAACCCTAGAGTGAACACGACCCAACCCTAGAGTGAACTCTCACCACCCTAGAGTGAACACTACTCGACCCTAGAGTGAACACTACCCCACGCTAGAGTGAACACTACCAACCCAAGAGTGAACACTACCCAACCCTAAAGTGAACTCTATACCCAACCCCTAGAGTGAACACTACCCAACCCTAGAGTGAACACTACCCAACCCTAGAGTGAACACTACTCAACCCTAGAGTGAACACTACCCAACCCTAAACTGAACACTACCCAACCCTAGAGTGAACACTACCCAACCCTAGAGTGAACACTACCCAACCCTAGAGTGAACACTACCCAACCCTAGAGTGAACACTACCCAACCCTAGAGTGAACACTACCCAACCCTAGAGTGAACACTACCCAACCCTAGAGTGAACACTACCCAACCCTAGAGTGAACACTACCCCACCCTAGAGTGAACACTACCCCACCCTAGAGTGAACACTACCCCACCCTAGAATGAACACTACCCAACCCTAGAGTGAACACTACCCCACCCTAGAATGAACACTTCCCCACCCTAGAATGAACACTACCCCACCCTAGAATGAACACTACCCAACCCTAGAGTGAACACTACCCCACCCTAGAGTGAACACTACCCAACCCTAGAGTGAACACTACCCCACCCTAGAGTGAACACTACCCCACCCTAGAATGAACACTACCCCACCCTAGAATGAACACTACCCCACCCTAGAGTGAACACTACCCAACCCTAGAGTGAACACTACCCAACCCTAGAATGAACACTCCCAACCCAAGAGTGAACACCAACCCAACCCTAGAGTGAACACTACCCAACCCTAGAGTGCACACACTCATGCACTGTGTAAAAGGTTACAGGGGCACATAATGGACTCAGGAACTGAACCTCTGTTCATTTAACCAATCAGGTTACAGCTTTGATTTAGTTACACTCCTGTAACCAACGTTACAGGACTTAGTCATGAGGTAAGCAAGTAAGAGACTTCAAGATCATGAGGTAAGCAAGGAAGAGACTTCAAGATCATGAGGTAAGCAAGTAAGAGACTTCAAGATCATGAGGTAAGCAAGCATGAGACTTCAAGATCATGAGGTAAGCAAGCAAGAGACTTCAAGATCATGAGATAAGCAAGTAAGAGACTTCAAGATCATGAGATAAGCAAGTAAGAGACTTCAAGATCATGAGATAAACAAGCAAGAGACTTCAAGATCATGAGATAAGCAAGTAAGAGACTTCAAGATCATGAGATAAAGTAAGAGACTTCAAGATCATGAGATAAGCAAGTAAGAGACTTCAAGATCATGAGATAAGCAAGTAAGAGACTTCAAGATCATGAGATAAAGTAAGAGACTTCAAGATCATGAGATAAGCAAGTAAGAGACTTCAAGATCATGAGATCAGCAAGCAAGAGACTTCAAGCTCATGAGATAAAGTAAGAGACTTCAAGATGAGATAAGCAAGTAAGAGACTTCAAGCTCATGAGATAAAGTAAGAGACTTCAAGATGAGATAAGCAAGTGCCTGGAGGTAGTACAAGCAGACATGTGCATATTGCTACAAGAAACACCGTACTCTTCTAAGAAAGAGTTAGCTTGCCAAGCAGCAGGAAGAGGGCGCGGACAAGCCGTTCAAAACACTCCCAAGACACTAGGAAATATAATAATAAACTTGTACAGGCGGCCATCCTTCAATATTTGGTTACTGTAACATCTGGTTCAACAATCTCTTTAACTTTATTCTGCATAATATACACACACTTGTATGTATATTAACATATACAGACTTGGTAGGTATTACGGTGTTAAAATACTCATGTTGTCAAACGCGCTGGTATACACAAGTGTATACCGGCGCAAATATTTTATATATATATATATATATATATATATATATATATATATATATATATATATATATATATATATATATATATATATATATATATAACTGAAAACTCACACCCCAGAAGTGACTCGAACCCATACTCCCAGGAGCAACGCAACTGGTATGTACAAGACGCCTTAATCCACTTGACCATCACGACCGGACAAAATGAGGTGATAGCCGAGGCTATTTGAACCACCCCACCGCCGGCACTCGGATAGTAATCTTGGGCATAGCATTTTACCAAAATGCTTTACCAAAATTTTTTACCATTCAGGCTTGTTCGCACATATTATATATATATATATATATATATATATATATATATATATATATATATATATATATATAAAACAATGTCAGACTAGGGAGGGAGGAAGGATTAAGACAGGAAATTTCCTCAAGTACTTTCGTATTTATTAATACATCTTCAGAAGGATGGATTTACAGCTCAGTGGTGTGGATAAATAGGCAGGAATGAGGTGAGAAACAATGTCTTTAATGAGATAAGGGGATATTAATAAGGAATTATTTATATAAATGTGTATTAATGATCCCACTCAAATCGCTCTTTAACTGATCAATCAGTTAAAGTATAATGGATCAGTATAGTATAATGGTATAATCAGTATAATGGATCTAAATTATACAAACCACTGCTAATGTTCAAATTACATGATTTTGTTACACACAGAGATCATAATACCATGATGTATCAAATGAACATGATTTTGTTACACACAGAGATCATAATACCATGATGTATCAAATGAACTTGATTTTGTAATCGTTATTAAAGCAGATTCAATAATATTTCTATTGAATATGTGACCTTGGTAGATGGTCCCAACACGTAGTGGAAAGCCAGCAGACGACACTGGAACCAGTCGTGACGAGACTGTTACCCAAGTTTGACTGACACAGTTTAAGACTGTACGTGTCTTGAGTTATGTCGTGTTATACTAGACAGTCGTCTACGGGCAACGCAAAAGCTACTTTCAAACTGTCAAGGCTGACTTGAGTTTTAACAGGAATATGAGCGCGTATGACCGCTCCAAGCAGCAGCCTGGTGGACCAAACTCTCACAAGTCAGGGGAGTAGAAGAACTCACAGAACCCCATCAACCAGGTATCAACCAGGTATCAAGCATAATCCTTCTGTTCTGCAACAAGCTATACACAGGATTAGGCAGTGATGTGGTGGAGGCAGACTCCATACACAGTCCCAAATGGAGATATAATAGAGTCCAATAGGCCTTAGAATCTATACACCAGTTGATTGACAGCTGAGAGGTGGGACCAAAGAGCCAAAGCTCAACCCCCGCAAGCACAACTAGGTGAGTACAGTCAAGATCCTTAATATCTCTCGCAAACCGCCTAAGTTTTATTAAAGGAATTACACAAAAAAAAATAATTAAATTGAAATTTGCGTTTAAATGTACATAATTAAACCACAAAAAGACTCAAGAACGTTCAATCTATAAAAGTATTTTAAAAACTAAAAACATCACTTAAAATATATTGAAGAAATCAAAACATCTGAATTATATTGAATAAATCAACAGAACCTATTATATGGGAGAAAATAAGCACAACGCGTATATCTTTAAAACAAAAATTGAGGATGTTTGAGTACCTGTGTGTTCGAGGCTGGAGCCGGAGACTCGGAGCTAGAGCCTCGCCCAACTCTTGGGCAGACTAGAAATTGGTAGCTTGAGACTACTAATTTCCAATCTCGCTAAATTAGGAGAATGTTACAGTGATGATTTTGTGAAGTGTAGAGGGGCTACAGTGATGATTTTGTGTAGTTAAGAGGGC